TTTTACTAAGTTTTCATGGCACGTGAGGATTGAAGGATTCCCAATCCTTCTTACTTCCTAATAGTCCACTGGAAACAACCTGCACTCACCCATGCTAGCGATCAATTACCATCCAAATCCTAAGATCACCCATCCTCTGAAATTTTGAAGAGTACTCTTGAAATCTAGTCCAATCTGGCACCTCGATCCACCTCCCATGTTGGCGACTCGAAACCATAACCTTTACACCGACTGTCGAATCCTCGCAGAACCACTAAGATTTAATCAAACACGACCCATGCGAAAAATACAATTCCCTTGGAACATCTAATGGTCGAACAACCTATGCGACCACACCCGTATCCTTCCGCTACCACTCCTCTCTTAGCATTGGTAGTGCTAGAACCCATAAGTTATCCCATAGGAAATTGTCAACCATACCTGAACAAATGATAGAACCATTAAACTCCAACTTCATTGGAGAATCATCCTACTAATTCCTGGCCAAGGATCTTCCAAATAATACTTCTGAATGGATCTCGACAAAGATACGAAATAGTAATGGTACATACGGAATCCACTCCGCAAGATACATCCCTCTGTAGGTTCATCAAAGGACTTTTCGGCATGCAGAATGGCATATAACAATCCTTGATAACCCAGACAATAACAGAGAACCGACCGAGATCTGACTTATCCAAACTCACTCACAATTCCAAAGCGATAAAGATTCCCGACGTCCACCTTGTAGCAGTAAAAGATGACACACCCGTAACATCTGAAGGAATCCTGATCACCTTCTCTAGAGATACTTCGAACCTCCCGAGAACATGGTGTAAAAATCCCTTCGATAGCGATGACAGGAACTAACAATAGGACCCTCCTTCCTGAAGGATTCTAAGGATTCACAGGCTTTAGGCTTCAGATAATCCCCTAACTGCCCTGCGACAAATCTGGTCTGAAAGGCCCCGAGACGACTATCGAGAGCTCCCAAAATTCCTTCCTTGGATGAACGAAAGACCAACGAGGTCCATTCAAAACTCTGCAAGTAATCCCCGATGAGATGAACTCCTACGATCACACATTGATTGGCCAAGGCCCTGCTCCTGAACCGGAACCAGAATCTGAATCTCATTCTTGATTGCACAAAACCATACTAAACTGACATTCAAGAGATCCGAATATACCCAAGAATCCTTATCCCACAGGCATCTTGTATTCTCCAATACTCTCACCGATTCGAGTATGGATCCTGTGCGTTCAATAGTACATGCCCAATACGACCTTCCACACATATCCATATTTTCCTCAAGAATTATCCTGAATCCTCCAAGTCACCCTCTCAAACTGATGCACCCAAGTCTCACTAAACCTCACTGCTAACCCACTAATACATATCCCAGGCTTTCCTGGGTTCCCGAAACCACCCAATCCTCAGCTGCTGAAAGATTCCCAATAAAGTCAACTAGTTACCTTATGAATATAAACACATGCAACAGAGATCAGATAATCCTTTGAGTAAAAGACTCATCCCTAGAACGGTTAGACTCAAATGAGAGTTGCACAATAGGGTCAAGTCCATCACTCTGAGACTATCCGGCCTGTATCCCATGTGACTTATCATATTCACTTAGTAGCTAACTTACATCACTAAGAGTCCCACAAAGCACAAACCAAGCAGCATTCAGACAATGGAAAATCTAACTAACATACTCCAATCAAACCATTCTATCCTCTAATCATGAATTTGTACTGGCATGACATTATAAAGCTCATACAATCAAGCATAACCTAAACAGACCATCCTATCATTGACTGATCAGTACTACCATGCAGGTCTACAAGCCCATACAATAGGCATATAAGGCATCCTTCCTAGATCCTTATCCATAATCTAACATGTAGTTCACATATCCTCAATTCGTATCATAACATAACATAACATGTATGGGTATCTTGGGAAAAACTTACTTGAGCTCGGCCGATTGCACGCATCACACTTCTTGCTCGTTATCAAAAACTGTTTATTTTAATTTTTTTGAAATTTATTTCCTTATAAAAATCCTTCAAACCCTCGATTTGAGTCTAGCACCCCCGAAGGTGTGTCCGAATCCCTCAAGTCAAGGCTTTAATACCAACTTGTAACATCCAAAAATTTAAGATCAACAATTTCATTTTTAAATAAGTTGTTATAAAAACCAATAATTTAAAGACATTCATAATATCATCCCATGTCAAAACCAGTATGTCAATAATCAAAAACATGTCATCATAAATCAATATCAGAGTATAATCCCAAAGATCTCATGTAAAGAAAAAAAGTGTGATGCGTTGCGATCCTGGTGGCTCCTTTCCTTTTGAAAAAGAAGTACCTAAAATCAAAACTGAAAACCGTAAGTACGAAGTTTAGTGAGTTCCCCCATCATACCACACACCATACAATAACATATTGTCAGGCATACCGGGTGCCCGACCTACCCCTTTCAGGCAAATCTGGGTGCCCGACCTACCCTGCTGAGCATACCGGGGTGCTCAACCTACCCTTGTTAGGCATACCGGGGTGCCCAACCTACCCCTTTCAGATATACAAGGGTGTCCGACCTACCCTATCAAGCATATTTGGGTGCCCGACCTACCCTCTGGTTTATCTCAACTGGTTTCGGGGACTATTTCACCCCCTACACTACCACATAATATTATATCATGAACATACTGTTAGGCACGCATGGATACTGTCTACCCCTTCAGTATCTTTCAACCGGTATCCGGGGACTATTTCACCCATACTACTACTAACGCATATATCATAGCATCCTAGCACATAAAGCATATCAAATAGTGACAAACCACCCAATTATCACAAAGACAATCATCTCAAACATAATCACCTACTGTTTAGGGTTAGCGGGAGGGTGACGGGTTTATATACTCGGTCCCCATGAAAATTCTTTCCATAATGACAAGATCAGTCCTTCCTTTCTCTTTTTCTTTCAAACTAAGTCCATAAGATACCCTTTCTATTAGTGACTTCGGAAATCCCTTTCAAGTACAATCCGTAATTTACCCAACAACCCTCAGTTCTCAAAATGGTTTTTGCAATCCGCTAAGTTCTAATATATGAAACAGGAAAGCCAAGACTATCTCACGGAATTACTAATAATTAATAAACTATAAATTAAATACATATAAGAATAATAGGTGGATTTATTTTAGGTTAAAATTTAATTAAAAAAATATTTGTTAGATTCATTTTTAGAGTTTTTGAACCAAACTTATTAGATAAAAATATTTAATATTTATATTAAAGCAATTTGGTTTTTTAATACAGTAATTTTTAATATAAATCATCTATGTGATCTTTGTTTATTTAATAAACATGGTGTTACAGGGGAAGAAGAGGTTGTCGAGTGGAGAAGAAGAAGGGGAAGAGAGAGGAATAACTCAGCATAAACCCACCGAGTTTGGCCACCGAACTCGACATGCCGATTTTGGCCACCAAACTCGGCATGCCGAGTTCATGGCACAGTGTTTACCGAGTCTAGGTAGGATTTGCCGAAGGCTGCCGACCCCACTCTGTCGAGTCTAAAAGTAAACATACATACCTCTAAGAATATAGGAGTACTAAACCTAGTTAAGAATCAGCGGACACTTGTTTTCCCTTGTTCAAACTCTAGTTTCTCCTCCACCTATATTTACATTTAAGAAGCATTAAAATAGGTTTCAGTATGATATTAATGAATTATTATGCATACAAAATACTTATTTGGTATTTTTTTAACCCCAAACTTATACATTGGATAATTACTTTTATGTTGTTTGACCAAAAAAGGCATACTTCTTTCATCTCCTTCTTTTGGGATGCTTCTGATTTGATCTCCAAGCAATACAAAATAAAGTGCAACCTAAAAAGGGCATGATGATGAATAAAATAAATTAAATGTATGTCTGAAAGGTATTGTATACATAAAATCTATTTCTTTTTCTACACTAAACAGTTTGAACGTGACTAAATGATGATTTTACCCTTAACTACTAACAAAATTAATTCACAATGTTCATCACTTTTACCAATTAAGTCATTCTATCCAATTTGACAATTAAAATGACTTGTAATATTTTGTAACAAATGTAACCACAGTTCATAATCGTCCAGCATGGACAATTAAAATTACTTGTAATATCTTGGAAACGATCCACCCCACCATCATTGTCCCGCCTACCAATAAAACCCTAATGATTTAAAATGCCACTGCTAGTGGAGTGGCGAGTCCAGAACAAAAAATCATGTGGTTCCCTATTTAAGTGAAACCAAGAAAAATAAAATAGTTAAAATTACTAGTTGTGGGTTGGGTCATATGTAGTGTTGTAAAACTCGGATAACTCGGCTGAGTACTCGCAAACTACTCGAACTCAACCTTCAACTAGGTGAGTTTTGCCTACTTAGCCAAGAAAATCACAAATCTTTCCGACTCGGACTGATTTAACCTAAAAATGATCTTTTTTGAACTAGATCAAGGTTAAACCAAAAACCACATATCATTATTGCTTAAACAATCCTTAATAAACCTTTCCATCACCCTTCTTTTTTATAAGTAACAAAAACCACATAGGTTTTACAACAGCTGGTGTAGGTTAGGTATATATAAACTTATAAATCAATTAACCAGATCATTAAAATTGACTACTCATTTTGATCCAACATTAAAAGGTATGTCTTAAAAAATTCAAGGTGGTTCCTAAATTTTCTTTCAACACAACTTATTATAAAATTTAAAAAGTAAGGTGGGTCATGGGATCCACCTACAA